GCGCCAGCGCCGAACCCTGGCGGTGGCGGGGGGGGCAGACAGAAAGAACGAAAAGAAAAGAGCGAACGGAAGAACGAAGCGCGGAGCGGAAAGAGCGAAAGCGGCGAAGACAGCGCGACAAGAAAGAAGGCAAGGAAGAAGGAAGAGCGAAGCGAAGAACCCCAGGCGCAGCAGCAGCAGCAGCAGACGCAGGCAAAGAGCGAAGGGGCTTCGTCCACGCGGCGAAGGACGAGTCGCGCGAAGAAGGACTACCAATGGGGCAAGTGGGGGCGGAGGAATGCGAAGAAGGCCGGCCCGGGCGATGCGGGCGCGGAGAAGGCCAATAAGAACGGACGCGAGAGCAGGGAGCACAAGGCGGCCGAGGACGCCAAGCGGAAGGAGCGACGGTGGCAGAAGAAGAAGGAGGAGATCAGGAAGCGGTGGAAGGGATTCTACGAGTCCGACACCATCATCTTCTTCTGAACTCGCACCACCGCCATCTACTTACCGTCATCTTCTTCACAACCAACAACAGCACTTCCGGCGGAGGGGGACGAACTGGGGAGTGCGGCCACATCGGATCGCACCAACCAATAAACCCCTCCGCCGGAAACCCACGGCATTCGTCGTCGGCGGACTTCAACTCTGCATCATCATCATCTTCTTCTTCTTTCTGGCCTCTTACTTCTCTCCGACGGCCACAGTGACAAGACTTGAGCCTAACCTGCGTGCGGTGTCGCATCAACACAGGAGGCCGAGCGGATGCGAAAGGCCGGCGGCGCGTGGGAAGTGCATTCTACGCCCTTCGGCACCGTCTACAAGTACAGAGGCACCCACGCCCCAGGTACCACCCTCACCACCAGCCCCACTCGCTCTCGCTCTCCCTCAACGTCGCCCGTGTGCCTCTGGCAGGTGCGCGTGGTGGGGCCAACGGCGGCGGCGGTGGACCCGATATCCCGTTCTTCACCGGGTCCCTGTTCGGCACGGCGCTTCGCATGTTCGCCGACGCGATGACCCGCGGCGCCTACCCGGGCGGCGCCGCGGGCTCGCCCTTTGAGTCTCCGGCCCGCGCGGGCCTCAAGCAGGGTCCCGACGGCCTCCCGGTGTTCCCGCGGCGCTTCATCGCCCAGGAGGCCGTGTCGCTCACGGTCGATTCCCTGCTCCAGCCCCAGCGGGGCCAGCGACAGGCCCGGCTCACGTGGGACCTCCAGGAGGCCGCCACGGGCGAGTACCTGGGCCGGCTCGACCAGCACGGCGTCGACGACCTCGGCGCGTGCATCAAATTCCACAACCCGCAGGGCGCCACCGTGGCCAAGGCCACACGCGTGTGGACCCACGACGCCAAGGCCGCCAAGGCCAGCGACAGCGCCGCAGTCATCAAGGCGGCCCTCGAGCGCGGCGCACGAGGCCAGGTCGTCTCGCTGGTCGGCGCCCGTACCAACGCCACGCTGGCCAAGGTGGTCGAGTTCGCCCCAGGCGACTACGCGTCGCCCCTGACCCGGTGGCTCAACGCCTTCTACACATCGTTCGTCGTATTGGACGATCGGGGCGAGGAGTCAGCGATGGTGCGACGCTACGCCGTACCCAGACTCTTCAGCTACTACCGCGGCGTCGACGCCCACGGCCAGCGCGTCGTCGAGTGCCGGCTCCCGCTGGCCCTGGTGCGGTGGAAGACCCGCTGGGCGTTCGAGCGGAGTGCTGCGGCGATGGCCGAGGGCGAGAGCGAGGATGAGGCGTGGCGGCGCGAGATGCGTGGCGAGGCGAAGAAGAAGGGGCGGCTGCACTCGCTGGTGTTCCCGGTCATGGCCGCGTTCCACTCGATCGACACCCACCAGACCTCCCTCTTCAAGCGCATCCTTGGCTGATTGTTTGTTTCAAATAAAAAACCCATTGCATTGTAACAGAGGAAAGCGGGGGCTGGCACCGGTGGGTTTTTTTTTGGCAATGGAGTTGGCGTCCTCACTCCTCCGAGGCTTCCCCGCCCGTAAGACCTCCAACATAGGTAAGGCCGGTGAGGAGGAAGCCAAGTGCGAGCATGGCGTCCACTCTTAATGACTTCCTAGGGCTATACAACCCACGACCGCCGCCGGGTGCTACTGGACAAGAACACCCCCCTCCGTGAAGTGCGGCGCCACCTTGACCGAAAGCTGCGGCAGCCGCGAATGACCGACGACTACGGACACGCCTTCCAAGAAAGCGACCTAGAGCAGCCGTTGTGGAAATTCAGCGATGGCTGCGCGCTTCAGGTGGTCTTCGTGCCCACCGACATGGACAACTTGAAGGATTTTGCAGAGCAGGGGACACAGAAGGTCATGACTTCCCTTTTAAGGAAGAAAGTGGCCTAGCCTGACGCAAAAATAAAATGGTCATCATTGACACCACTCAAGCCCCCTCTCCATGGCTGCCCTTGCTGCACACAACATATCAACATTCGGATCGTCAAGGGGGTCGGGCGGCAAGTGGAAGGAATTTGACGTGGCCGTGAAGTACAGCAGAAGCTTGAAAAGAGCAATATGCTTGAGTTCAGGGCGAGATGACCGTTCTTCTCCGAGCTGCACTCCAACAAGGTCCTGTTCTTCAATGAACTCGACGCTCCAAAGTATCTGTGAAAAGCAAAACTTGAGAATTACATTTCCCTGTCTTCTTGGGTGCGTGATGAAGGCATGACGAAGGCGATGAAGAAGACGATGGGGCGATGTTGAAGACGATGCACAACCTCAGCTTGATGAAACCGAGGCCTTGGAAGTGGCCACTGAGGTGCGTGGTCTGGGGCCTTTCCATTTTGGCTAGACTGATGGCATGAACCAGGCCTGAAGGCCGTTGCAAGAAAGCTGTTGCCTGCGTGTCATGCCCCTCAAGGTCCGACCATTTTTTTCTCTGTATTAGCTCACACCTTTTGTGTGTTGTGTTGCGTGCCTCAGGTTGTGTGGTGGCAACCACCAGGACGCATGCATGTGGCCCCTCTCTTCAATCTATGGTGGTTCACCAAGCTGGCCTCAGAGTCAGCTGGACCTCTTGGCAATTTCATAACCCATCATCCACATCATTGTCACATGTGCATCCACACAGTCATTGATCATTGCTTTGCTGCAGGGGAGTTCTGCCCATGGCCATCCCCCTGTTTGACAACAAATTCTGCACAAGTGGCCACAGTGACACTTGAACTTAACATGCCCTTGTGTTGTGTGTTGTGCACCACCCCAGAAGGCTGCGAATTTCACTCAAGAGCCTCCTTGATGACTGCATCATGGGTCCACACACATGTGGCGCCCTGTGCATTGTTGAATTTAATGCACACACCAAGGTCATCAATGCCATGGTGGTCAAGTTCACTCCAGGCAACTACACATCACCCAGTGGCTCAACACCTTCAACAGGTTGTTTGTCATGCTGGACAATCAGGGCAAGGGGTCAGAGGTGGTGCAATGCTATGCCATGCCCAGGCTCTTCAGCTCCTACTTCAGCTCCTACCACAGTGTCCAGATGGCCAGCATGTTGTCTGCTCCTGGTGCAGTGGAAGACCCAGGCACATGAGGCAGATGTGAAGGCAGATGATGTTGATGTGCCACCCAGCACTCCTGCTCAATGTCTGGAATGAGCCCCATTAGGCAGACCTCAGCTGGTTGGTGTGTGGCCAACATATTTTACTTTTTCCTTGGGTGTGATTTTCTCTGGTTGTCTTGGTGGGTTTCCAGTGAAGTCTATGACAGGGGAGGAGGCAGAAAAGCGCACTGCGCCACCGTACCTGCTATCACATCAACCAAAGCAAACTGCACACCAGCAACCACAACACCAACCCTCTGCATTTGAATGGATCAATCAAACGGCGACTCTAGGGTATGTACAACTGCAAAAATAGAATGGGAAAGTGCTTCATTCTTTTGCTGATGATTTGCTTTCTTTCCAGCATCAAGGCAAGGGAGAGAGAAATGAATGGAATCTTGTAGGTCAGGCAGGTTCTTATTCATTTACAGGATCGCCTGATGTACATGTACCATTTAGCGAATATCCTGTGGTACGTGGTCCTCTCACGTGCAGCATTCTGTGAGATTAACGATCTTTGCAACTCCGATCTTGCAGAATTCTTCCGTGAATCACTTGATAGGATCGCTTGGTGTACCTTCCCAATGGAGCGAATCTCCTCTGGTACGTTGTCCTTCAACCTACCACATAATGTGAGATTAACAATCTTTGCAACTCCTATCAACAGAGTTATTTGTCTGTAATCCAGCCAAGTGTTCAAGTGGGGGTTCAGCAAATAACTTATGAGCCGTTGAATGCGGATTATCAGGAAGATGTACGCTTCGCGACCATTTCCAATTAATTGACACATGAACTGCAGCTAACTTCTTTCTAGTGTTTTCAAGGAGGCGGCCAGGACGACGCTCCCAGAAACGTCATTGATACAACTAGTGAAAATATTAGCGGTGTTCCCCATCATGGTAAGTTTTCGCATGAGCCCCCCCCCAATCTAAAGAGCTCTTGCTCACCTTGGCCCTCATATCCCGTGGCACGTACATAGCACCCAGCGACCTGCACGAGTATGAGCACCAGGGCGGCCACTTCTACAAGCGGAGGGAGCCCAACAAGAATAATTATTGTGGCTACAGATGTGATGGAGGAGAGATCGTCCCATGCTGCAACGAGCTTCTCAATGGCACTACCTCGCAGGCCATGGCGAACCACCTGCTCATGCACATCAGAAAAGAGTGTCCTACCTCCGAGGACCGCGCCAAGGTACCTCACATGGCACTCTGCATACACTGGCAGCCTGTTACGTTCGCTTGGCTGAACGCCTCTCGCTGTTCTTGTTGTTATGTGCTCCCGCCCGCAGAGGCCTCGCGAAACAGTTGTTCTGCAGCCGCAGCAGGGGAAGGAGGAAGAGGAGCAAGTCGCGTGGCAAGAAGAGCCGCCGGTGAAGCGAAACCGGCCTAACCCTCAGGCCGAATCTGATGCTGCCCAGCAACCGCTAGGACCAGCGCAGCCGTCTGGCGGGTTAAACGTGCGCTCGTCTTCAGCTCCCTTGGTCCAACTTGTCGCTCAGGGCCAACCTGTCCCGCAGCACGCAAGTCATGGTTTGGGTACGCCCGGGACTACACTTTTCAGTCTTCACTCAGCTGAGAGCAGCTGTCACTCAGCTCCTACTCCCCCCTCCCTTTTACTAGGCTCCCATGCATTGGCTCCTCTTCCTCAGCCCCAGCTGCTGACTCAGTCCTACGCTCACCACGGAGGCCTGCCTGGTAAACATTGCCCGTCGTCCCCCACCACCACCACAAAAGCTCATGGAAAAGCTGGTCCTCTTTGGATGGTGTGCAGAAGCTACATATCGTCACCAGGAGTCTCTGGGCAATCTCCTGGCGTTGGTGCAGGGCCGCCTGGACCATGAGATCCAAGAACTCAACCGCTTCAAGCTCCTTGTGCAGCTCTTTGTGCAAGAGAGGGAGATGTGGGCAGTGCGCGACTGAAAGGATTTCTGTAGGCGAGTTGGTTGTTCTTTGGCACCTTTCGATTAGAAAAGAAGAAAAGGGAGGAGAACGAGCAGGAGCAGGGCGCCGGCGACGGAGGGCAGGGTGGTGCCGCCGGCGCTGTCGAGCGAGCTCGGGCGGGCGCCAACCCACAGATCGCCCGCGTAGGCGCCAGTGTCGGGGGCGGACGTGGCCACCTGGACTGTGACGCCCAGGTCGTTGATGCCGGTGTCGGCGTTCCAGGTGCCCTCGTTGGCCAGCTGGATGGCATAGTAGGGCAGCGGCTCGGCCGACGGCGACGAGGCCATGAGCGCGTCCGCGAACAGCAAGCCCAGCGAGTAGTTGCCTGACTCGTCATGCACCCATACGGTGAGCGTGTGCGGTGCGTGTGCGGTGTGTCGTGTTTGGCGTACCTGCGGGCACGTTGGGTCCGATGCCGAGGGAGTACTTGAGGGTGAAGGGCGACTGCTCGGGGTGCCAGAAGCGCGGGTCGACCGGGAGCTTGGTCCACACAGTCCTGTGCACACAAACGCAGACCTCAGTTCAACTTGAGGCAACCTTTGTTGAATGCAGATTGAGGCGCAATGGGTGGGGTGCGTACGACTCGGCGGTGAGGACCAGGTAGACGGTGACCTGGTGGAGCGGAGCCGAGAAGCCCTCGTTCTCGATCACCAGCGACACATCAAAGCGGCGACCTGTAAAAAAACAAGAAATATAAGAAATATCGTTTTTAATGAGACGAATTTTAAATAATTATAATAGTTATAAT